GGAGGCCGGGCGTTTACTGCGGCAAGAGACCCGTCGCACACCGCCAGAGTCAAAGCTGGAGGGACCCAGCAGGGGGCGCGCTCCTCTCCCCGTTAGGACTGACCCCAGGGCGGCGCTAGGGGGCGCTGTGGGGCAGGGAGCGGGCTGGCCCCAGAGTTTCACTAGGGGGCGATGTGGGGCAGGGAGCGCAGCAAGGGAGAGGGCTGGCCCCAGTGTTTCACTAGGGGGCGATGTGGGGCAGGGAGCGCAGCAAGGGAGAGGGCTGGCCCCAGTGTTTCACTAGGGGGCGATGTGGGGCAGGGAGCGCAGCAAGGGAGAGGGCTGGCCCCAGTGTTTCACTAGGGGGCGATGTGGGGCAGGGAGCGCAGCAAGGGAGAGGGCTGGCCCCAGTGTTTCACTAGGGGGCGATGTGGGGCAGGGAGCGCAGCAAGGGAGAGGGCTGGCCCCAGTGTTTCACTAGGGGGCGATGTGGGGCAGGGAGCGCAGCAAGGGAGAGGGCTGGCCCCAGTGTTTCACTAGGGGGCGATGTGGGGCAGGGAGCGCAGCAAGGGAGAGGGCTGGCCCCAGTGTTTCACTAGGGGGCGATGTGGGGCAGGGAGCGCAGCAAGGGAGAGGGCTGGCCCCAGTGTTTCACTAGGGGGCGATGTGGGGCAGGGAGCGCAGCAAGGGAGAGGGCTGGCCCCAGTGTTTCACTAGGGGGCGATGTGGGGCAGGGAGCGCAGCAAGGGAGAGGGCTGGCCCCAGTGTTTCACTAGGGGGCGATGTGGGGCAGGGAGCGCAGCAAGGGAGAGGGCTGGCCCCAGTGTTTCACTAGGGGGCGATGTGGGGCAGGGAGCGCAGCAAGGGAGAGGGCTGGCCCCAGTGTTTCACTAGGGGGCGATGTGGGGCAGGGAGCGCAGCAAGGGAGAGGGCTGGCCCCAGTGTTTCACTAGGGGGCGATGTGGGGCAGGGAGCGCAGCAAGGGAGAGGGCTGGCCCCAGTGTTTCACTAGGGGGCGATGTGGGGCAGGGAGCGCAGCAAGGGAGAGGGCTGGCCCCAGTGTTTCACTAGGGGGCGATGTGGGGCAGGGAGCGCAGCAAGGGAGAGGGCTGGCCCCAGTGTTTCACTAGGGGGCGATGTGGGGCAGGGAGCGCAGCAAGGGAGAGGGCTGGCCCCAGTGTTTCACTAGGGGGCGATGTGGGGCAGGGAGCGCAGCAAGGGAGAGGGCTGGCCCCAGTGTTTCACTAGGGGGCGATGTGGGGCAGGGAGCGCAGCAAGGGAGAGGGCTGGCCCCAGTGTTTCACTAGGGGGCGATGTGGGGCAGGGAGCGCAGCAAGGGAGAGGGCTGGCCCCAGTGTTTCACTAGGGGGCGATGTGGGGCAGGGAGCGCAGCAAGGGAGAGGGCTGGCCCCAGTGTTTCACTAGGGGGCGATGTGGGGCAGGGAGCGCAGCAAGGGAGAGGGCTGGCCCCAGTGTTTCACTAGGGGGCGATGTGGGGCAGGGAGCGCAGCAAGGGAGAGGGCTGGCCCCAGTGTTTCACTAGGGGGCGATGTGGGGCAGGGAGCGCAGCAAGGGAGAGGGCTGGCCCCAGTGTTTCACTAGGGGGCGATGTGGGGCAGGGAGCGCAGCAAGGGAGAGGGCTGGCCCCAGTGTTTCACTAGGGGGCGATGTGGGGCAGGGAGCGCAGCAAGGGAGAGGGCTGGCCCCAGTGTTTCACTAGGGGGCGATGTGGGGCAGGGAGCGCAGCAAGGGAGAGGGCTGGCCCCAGTGTTTCACTAGGGGGCGATGTGGGGCAG